TGCCATGATACGCTTTACAATTTTAAAAAAAATAACTGTTTCTTAAATGCCGAGGCTATTTTTCTGATACGCTTGGTTTTCACAGCAAACAACTGCAGGGCCAAGGCCTGACCAACAAGCCATCTGCCGCCACTCTGAAGCGCGTCAGTATTTTGCACACACGCTGACTTTATCTTATTTCCCTGGCCTTCTTCTGAAACAGTATCTTCCCGATGAAGACTCACAGCAAAGGCAGGAATCAAACCTAAAAACCACGCTGAGGGGCCAGCTTTGTGGCACAGTGGGCTCAGCCCCAGCGCAGATGCTGGCGTCCCTCTCGGAGTGCCAGTTCCAGTCCCAGCTGCTCTGCTTCTGATACCCAGGTTCCTACGAACGCACCTGGGAAAGCAGATGATGGTGGTGGCCCACGTACTCGGGTCCCTGCCACCCACGTGGGAGACCTGGATGGATTTCCCGGCTGCTGGCTTCAGCCTGGCCCAGCCCTGGCTGTTGCAGCCACTTGGAGAGTGAACCAGCTGGCAGAAGGGCTCGCGCTCTTGCTCTCTCCTTCTCCTCTCACTCTGCCTTTCAAATAAATAAACCTTTTCTAAATTAAATAAAAAACTAACTCAAGTGCAGCATTATATTCCAGACAGGAAATGTGTGTCCAGCTTCTCCTTTCTGTAATAGATCTACGAGGAAAACATAGCTAGTACATTGCAAAGGTGCTAGATTTTATTTAAAAGGGAGAGGGCAGGGAGAAAGACCAGCCGCGTTCGTCTCAGCCGCCGCCACTGTCCACGGGGGTCTACCGGCCCCAGGCTTGTCTCGTCGCAGCCTTCAGGGACACTTCACCCAAATGCGCAACTGTGTTTGCGATCCAGGAAGCTTACGATTGCTCATGGTTCCTTTAAATAAATTAAAACCAGCAATTGTTCCACACGCAAGAGCTTTAGTCATCTTGGAGTTTAAAAACAGGTTTGTTACATAAAAGGAGACTAATCCAGATCGCCCTAAAATTCTCGCAGAGTCCCCAACCCCACAAATGTCCACATGGTAGAGAACCCGCTTATGGGCCACAGAGAAGTGATGGTGAGTATCAGGCCATCAGTGCCCCTTGTCCATCATGTCAAAACGAGCCAGAACACCACCCGTCACACCACAAGCTATTCTGAGCAACAAGGGTTTGTTTAAACCCAGTAAATTCTTTTTTTTTAATTTATTTTTTTATTTTTTTGACAGGCAGAGTGGACAGTGAGAGAGAGAGAGACAGAGAGAAAGGTCTTCCTTTGCTGTTGGTTCACCCTCCAATGGCCGCCATGGCCGGCGTGCTGCGGCCGGCGCACCGCACTGATCCGATGGCAGGAGCCAGGTGCTTCTCCTGGTCTCCCATGGGGTGCAGGGCCCAAGCACCTGGGCCATCCTCCACTGCACTCCCTGGCCACAGCAGAGAGCTGGCCTGGAAGAGGGGCAACCGGGACAGAATCCGGCGCCCCGACCGGGACTAGAACCCGGTGTGCCGGCGCCGCTAGGCGGAGGATTAGCCTAGTGAGCCGCGGCGCCAGCCTAAACCCAGCAAATTCTTAAGCAGTACATGGTACGCGGCTGCCACTCACACCACCTACCGTTAGCCAACTCCACAGTAACCCGCCAAGCTCGCTGTGAAATCTAAGGCAATGCAAGAAACCTGTGTGGCCGAGTGGCAGGGCACAGCGACCCGGCCCCACCTTCCCAACACCTCTTCAGGCTCTCATCATGCCCGATGACAGCCACAGCCTACGGAGCCAGCAGAGGCCAGCGGGCGGCCCAGGCCTGCAAGCCGTGGCACGGCAGGGGGAGATCTCCCCCCTAGGTGAAATGCGCAAGCCCAGGTGTGATCGGTCTGAGTTTTACTCTCAAGCGGACAAAAAGGCGGGGACTCTTCTTACACGTCCATCTGCAAGGACCTTCAGAGCTCTGAGCATCCCTTACTTACAATGGTGTCTTTTTTTTTTTTCCTTACTTGCACCTGCCCTTTATCTAAATGACACGGCCCACAGGGGACAGAGAGGAGGACCCAAGGACTCTAAATTCCAAGAGAAGCGCATACTGGTATCAGCGAAACTGTAGGGATCTGGTAACTTCAACGCCAATGGGCTACAAAACTGGACAGACTTCCTCTTCCCGGGCAAATGAGCGTATTTAGTGAAAGCAAAACTGGCATCAAACAAAAGCCCATTACAGCCATCCCAACCTTCAACTAAATTAAATCAAACCGTACAGCCATAAATCGTCAAAGAACCTGCTGAAAATAATTCTTACGTCTCAGAAGCTGTTAAAACAATCACAAAAATTCACACTCGGAAAAGCACTTCCTTTTCGCGATGCAGTGTGTTTGACCTGAAAGGAGAGCCCGGGTCTCCTGGGTTGCCGCCGAACCAGGAGCCAGGTCCCACCGGTCTCCCTGCCTTCGGTGGGGGACTCTAGCTGGAGCTGCTAAAAGCCTCCTCTGTGCTCCAGGACCTCATACATCGCAGAACAATGGAGGCAGGCGACCAGGTCTAACCAGGGTCCCGACCACAGTAAGGAGCGCGTTCACAGAGGCACCTACGAGACCCGGCTCCACTCCGTGTCCCGATTTGTGAGCGGACCGGAGGCTCTCCCAGCAGGCACCGAGGTGTCCCTGCAGGCGAGAATGACCGGGGAAGGGACTGGGCTGTCATCTCACTGGGGTGATCCAACTGTGTGTGGGAACCGTGGACTTTCTCCTTTTACATAAGCGCCCTTAGGAGGACCGGGGAAGTCTCTGTCTCCATAGCAACGAGGGCCCTTGCAGAAATACAAGGAAAACGGCCCCGGAGAGGGACGGTCACGGGCTCTGCTCCCACAGCGCCCACGGGGCCCCGGGTGAAGTTCCACCTGGAGAAGGCAGCCCCTGCCTGCTCGGCTCCACGACGCTTCCGTGTGCACACACCTCGCTCCACTCGCTGGGTGGTGGAGACACCCTGGATAAGTGGACTCCCACTTCAAAGCTGCACTTTAATCAACTGCCTTGTTTCTTCATGCAAATAGGCTGGCAAAGGATAAAACTCAAGGTTTTTTGTTTTTTTTTTTTTTTTTCTCCATTTTTGGTAAGAAAACATCCTCTGAACAGAGTGAACAGTACACAGACGAAGGGCAAGGAGGCAAGACTGGCAGGGATCCGTCCTTACGGAAGACGCCCAGCCCCGCCTTGGGGTGGAGTGCAGGTCCCTGGACCATCAGAGCTCCAGTGATGCTGCCAACGTGCAAATGCACCTTCATCATTTCCTATCTGTTCACAGAAGACGCCTGTCTCTTCACTGCTGAGCTCACTAATTAGCTTAGAATAAAAGCTTCTTTATTCTTCTTGGTCGAAGGTACCTGGATCAGTCTGAGCTCCACCTCGGTTACCAGGCCTCAGCCTGTCTTCTGGATGGAAAGACAAACCCTGAATCCAGAACTGTGCACCTTCTCCACTGGAATCTACCCCCAGGTACCCGTGACTCCCGAGCCGCGTGTCTAACCACACACACCTGCCCTCAGAGGATCAGCATTTGAAAGGGAAATCTTCGAAGCTGCTGCAAATTAGCAAACATTTCCTCACGACTTACGCAAGATCTGTCACTGGCGGGCTCATTTTCCTCATTGACAACACCCCAAAAAAAACGCAGTGTCGATAATCCAGGCCTCCATAAAACGGCAAAAGAAGTGCATCAATCTAGAAACTTCTCAGATCCCCTCCACAGAAACAGTCCTCCTCCACTGCGCTCCTCCGGTGCCGACGTTCAATATCAGTATGGACAGCCTGAAATGCCAAGCTCGCCACCATTCCACACGATCGTTCATAACCTCACAGGTCTCTCTGGGGCTCTTAGCCGGGCTCCCTAGGCACATCTAACAGCAACCACTCTTCTTATCTCCCGCATCAGGACACAGAATTCACCTTAAGCGAAATCTCAGGCATCGGCAGCCAGGTAAGGGGACTCAATGGAGCTCGGGAAATAATTACACCAGGCTCTCACTGGAGATTTGTTTAAAAAAAAAAAAAAGTGTATTGGAGATACTCCCACATTCTGCACCCAATTAGAACTACTCTAAAATAACTCTTGGCCTCAAAAGCATTTCAAAACCAGTTTCGAGACTTGAAGGCAAACCATCACTCAACCAGGAGACTACAAGCTCCGCCTACAATTTAGCTGGTCGCCCCGAGTGGGTCATCTGACCCCAAGGGTTCCCGGTATCTTCAACTTGCAAAGCGAAGACCCTGGAATGCATTCTTTTTAAGGTCTCTTCCAGCAATAAAATTCTATGAATTTATGGAATTTCAATCTCTGCCCCGTTTCAAAGATAAGCAGCGTAATGCCCAGTTAGCCTAGATTTTTTTTCCTTTAAAAAAAAAAAAAGACTCAACTTGGGAAGCTTTCTTGGGTTGAAGCTGTATTTAGGAAAATAAACCTCAAAAGAAAACGATATGGAGAAAACGGGGGAGCGGGGGAGGGACCTCCATCACCCTTAGGCTGGTGTGTCAAAATAAAACAGTAATATTTATAGCTGCTCCCCGCTCCTCCCGAGGGACTCGTTCCGAATAAAAAGCACGGCGTTCTAAAATCAATATACAGAACTGCAGGACAAGTTGCAGGGAGCGAACTCGGCACAGCTCTCCGAGGCCTGTGCACGGTCAAGGGTGATGCAGGCGAAGCCGCGGGGCTTTATCACAGCCGGTGAGCGACGCACCCGAGGCAGGTGACGTCCGGGAAGGGAAGCAGGACCGCGCCACCCACCCACCGACCCACGCGGAGGACCTCCGGGGCAACAGGTCCGGGGCCCGCGGCCGCACAGCCCACCCGGGCAGGGCTGGGTCCCCGCCCCCGCGCCCGCCGCAGCACCGCCTCGCGCCCGCCCCCGCCCCCCAGCCCCAGCCCCACGCCCCTGCGGCAGACAAGCGCCCTAATCCCGCGCTCTCCGGGGCCTCCGACCCCGCGCCGCGTCCCCGCCGCCGCCGCCGCCGCGGGCCCGCTCACCTGCACCTGTTTGCGGAAGTGGCGCGGCTCCGCCACCGCCGGCGAGCAGGAGGAGCAGCAGCGGCGGCAGCAGCAGCAGCAGCGGCGGAGGCCCCGGCATCGCGCCCACCGCGCGGCCTCCCGGGCGCGGCGCGCGGGTCGCCTTCCACAGGGTCCGTCCGGCAGTCCGTCCGCCGGTCCTGCCTCCCGACGCCGCCTCAGCGGCACCCGCGCCGGCTGCTTCGGAGCACGCACTGCTGCGGCCGAACCTCAGCCCGGCTCCTGGTCCGCACCCGCCGCTCCGGCCGCAGAAACAACATCCTTCCCGCCCGCCCGCCCGCCCGCCTGCGCCGCCGCCGCCGCCGCCTCTCAACAGCAGCAACGGCAGCAGCCCTGCGGAGCCGCGGGCCCGGGCAGCCGCGATCCTGCCGCCATGATGGGCTGCGTCATGTGACGTAGTGCGGGGGCGGGACGCCGTGATAGGCATCCCGGCCGGCCAACGGTCAGTCCGTATTCCCCCCTGGAAGCCCCGCCCATCATCCTGAAGGCGGCAAGGTGGTCTCAGGTGCGACCCCTGCAGACAGAGGCGTGTGTAGACAGCAGGTAATGCACATGACTATTTTAAATTTAAAAATACAAGAAAATATGATCATGCGTGATCCATCCTGATTTTTTTCTCCATATTCGATAGCATGGAAAAAATGTCTTTTATTTTGTCTTGTGCCACTTTTACTTGCTAGAGCCTTAGGTTGACCTGCACATCCAACCAGCAAGCAAACAGAATTCCTCTCCCTGGTCACCCCACTGAGTCAGCTGAGCTCAAGCTGTTCCTTCTGCCAGGGGAGCCCTTCCTGTGCCCTCTTGTCTACCTGGCAGGCTGCACCTGTCAAGTGTCACATGAAGTTGTGACTTCATGGACAAGACTCCTCCCCAGTGCCCAGGAGAAGTGACAGGCGTGGCCTGACCCTAAGCTCCCTGGTGGCCCCCAGCAGCTAGGGGCTGGCACAGGGCCTGGCTTGCAGGAGGTATTCTCAAGAGAATGGGGCCTGCTCTTGGTCCTGGGTGCTGGGGTGGAGTAGCTTCTCCCTGTACAGGGTGAGGCGAGGCCAGGTCCAAGCAGAAGCATCAGAGGAAGCACTTTGTAGGCACGCAAGTGCTCAGATGCCCTGGGGGGGGGGGGGCCGCTGGGGGAAGCCTAAGAGTATGTGACTTTCCCAGCTGGTAGCAGAGGGGCCTCCCCAATTCTCTGTACTCCCCCCAGAACCCATTCTGATTGCAAGCTGCTGGATGAACCCACAACGCCCAGGGGACATGCGTTGAGCAATTGAGGCAAGCCAATGCCTGCAGCTTTCTGTTGAGGGCTGTGTGGGGAAGAGAAGCGAGGCAAAGGTCCAAGGAGAAGCCACGCGGCTGCCTGGTTGTGCTTCCACCCCAGTCTCTGGACTTTGAGCTCACGGAAGCCGAGGCGCGCTCGTGCTGTGCACTGGAGATTCCCGGCTGCCTGCTGTAGCAGTGCCGGTCCAACCAACGCGGTGCCTCATAATCTACAGGGTGATTAATGCTAATTAAGGTGCACCCCAACAACACGTCAGACCTCAGTCACAAAGCAGGTTTTGTTAGGATTTGAGCAAGCCCTGAAGTTGGAATACAAAACGTGTTCTTTTCCGCTTTCACAGAGCAAGGGTTAAGGTGCACATTCCTGGGTGAGTGTCTAATAGAAACCTTCAGCCCATCACCCACCCGCTGGTTATACCTTTGTCCAGTACTGCTCTCGAAGACTCCCAGTCAGGGTTTTTGTTTTGTTTTGTTTTGTTTTGTGTGTGACAGAGTGGACAGTTGAGAGAGAGAGAGACAGAGAGAAAGGTCTTCCTTTGCCGTTGGTTCACCCCCCAATGGCCGCTGTGGCCAGTGGCCAGTGCACTGCGCTGATCCGAAGCCAGGAGTCAGGTGCTTCTTCCTGGTCTCCCATGTGGGTGCAGGGCCCAAGCACTCGGGCCATCCTCCACTGCACTCCCGGGCCACAGCAGAGAGCTGGCCTAGAAGAGGAGCAACCGGGACAGAATCCGGCACACCACAGGCGGAGGATTAGCCTATTGAGCCATGGTGCCGGCCGCCAGTCAGGGTTTTCACAAAACAACCCAGGTTCCTTTGGACTCAGAAAACAGCCCAGAGCACAGTCCCGGGTTAGATCCTGAAGAGAAGAAGCCGTATGTCCCGGCGTCCTCACAACTCTACTCACGTGTGCTCGGCCCTTTCCAAGTTCTGCTCCACACCAAGCCGTCTGGGGGAGACCCTGCTGGCAGTGGTTGAGGCCTGGACGCACAGGGATAGGGAGTAGGCTTCGTGTGAGAGGAGCTGCACCCCTGCAGGTCTGTGTGTGCTCTGAAGACCGGCAGCATCCAGGAGATCCCTGATGCCGGGCACCACGGCTGGTGTGAAAGCCACTTGTTAAATCTTGGGAGTTTTGCAGGCCAGTTGTCAAACAGCCACTGTTAAAAATAATTCAGTGATACAGGGGCCAGAGTCGTGGTGCAGTGGCCAGCACCCCTTTTGCACACCAGTGAGCCCTGGCCACTCCACTTCTGATCCAGCTCCCTACTAATAGACCTGGGAAAGCACTGGAGGATGGCCCAAGTCCTTGGTTCCCTGCACCCATGTGGGAGACCCGGAGGAAGCTCCTGGATCCTGGCTTCAGCCTGGCCCAGCGATGACCATTGCGACCATCTGGGGAGTGAACCAGCGGATGGAAGACCTCTCTGTCTCCCTCCCTCTCTTTCTTTCATTCTGCCTTTCAAACTAATAAATAAATATTTTTTGAAAATACAGGTTAAATTACATACATCTACAATGTAATGAATTGTGTGAACACGGGAACGAGGGAAAACAGTTCGAGAAGGGAAAGCCTCAAGCACACGGGCTTTCAGAGCTCAGGACAGCCGTACCACCCTGACCGTGCCCAAGCTCGTGTGCTCTTGGAAGCTAAGCAGGGTCGGACCTGGTTAGCACTTGGATGGGAGAACTCAGACATGAGCCAAGGGTTTGCCACAATGAGAATCGATTATTTAAAGAAAAGTAGATGAATCTCAATAAGAACAATGGATTCTGTCACTTTGTTTTTAGATGTATTTATTTATTTGAAATGAAGCAGAGAGGGGGAAAGACAGAAATCTTCCATCTGCTGGTTCACTCCCAAATGGCTGCAACAACCAGGGCTGAGCCAGGCTGAAGCCAGGAGTCTGGAGCTTCTCCCAGGTCTCCCAGGTGGGTGCAGGGGCCCAAACACCTGGGCCGGCCATCTTCTGCCATCAGCAGGGAGTTGGGTTAGAAGTGGAACAGCTGGGACACGAACTGGTGCCCACATGAAAGCTAGCATCGCAGGTGGTGGCTTTACCTGCCACACCACAACAAAGGCCACACTTCCTCTCTTTCAAAAAAAATTTATTTATTTGAAAGATGTGGTGGAGGGGAGAAATCACCCATCCACTGGTTCACTCCCCAAATGGCCACAACAGCCAGGTCTGGGTCAGGCCAAAGCTAGGACCCCATCCGGGTTTCCATGTTGGTGCAGGGGCCCAAGCCCTTGGATTATCTTCCACCTTCCCAGAAGCATGAGCAGGAAGCTGGATCGCAAGTGGAACAGCCAGGACTCAAACTGGAGGTCCAGTATGGGTTGCCAGCATTGCAGGCAAGGGCTCAACCCGCTGCACCACAGCGTGGGCCCCTGGTGACTTCTGCCTGGAACTGTATTGGAGGTTACAGCCAGGAGAAAGAAATAAAAGGTATCCAGATTTGAAAGGCAAACATAAAGCTATCTCTACGTGCAGATAACATCTTATTGCATGTAAAAAATCCTGAGGACTCCACTAAACTAGGGTTAGAACTCGTCAGTGGACTCAGTAAGATTGCAAGATACAGGTCAGCAAACAGAAACCAACACTGTCCAACACTAGCAGTGAGCAATCCGGAAAGAGGTTGACAAAACAATTAGTTCATAAGAACATCAAAAAGAACAAAATACTTAAGAATTAATTTAACAGTGTTCTTAGAAATAATTTATACCCTGAACATTATAAAACATTACTGGAAGAAATGAAAGAGGATCTAAACAAGGATGGACACATCACATGCCAATGGACTAAAAAGTCTTAATGTTGTTAATGTGGACTCTGCCCCCAAATTGGTCTGCAGATTAAACACAATCCTTATACAAATCACAACTGCTGGGGCTGGCCTTGTAACCCAGTGGGTTAAGCACCGCCCCCACCCCTCACCCCGATGCTCACCAGCATCCCATATGGAGAGCTGGTTCAAGTCCTGGCTGCTCCACTTCCGATCCAGCTCCCTGCTGATGCGCCTGGGAAAACGGCAGAAGATGGACCAAGCACTTGGGCCCAGCCACCTACCTGAGAGACCCAAATGGAATTCTGGGCTCCTGGGTTCAACATAACCCAGCCCTGGATCAGCAGGTGGAAGATCTCTTGGTCTTTCCCCAAGCCCCGCCCCATCACTTTACCTTTCAAATGAAATAGAAATAAATATAAGGGAAAAAAATCATAGCTGCTTTTTTGGCAGAAACAGAGATCCTGGTTGTGAAATTCATATGGAATTTCAAAAGATCCAGAATAGCCGAAATAATAATTTTGGGGAAAAAAAAACAGGTTGGAAGACCCACACTGACTAATTTCAAAATTTACTACAAAGCTGTAATAGTGAAAACAGTGTGGTGCTGGCAGGAAGAATCTATTCATGGAATAGAATTGAGAGTCCAGAAATAAACCCTCACAACTGCTGTCAATCCATTTTCAACAAAGAGGTCAACACAATCCAATAGAAACAATGGTTCTTCCAACAAATGGCACTGGGGCAAATCCCTGTGGAGAAAACAAAGATGAAATCACTATTTCATACTGCATAAAAAATTAATTCAAACTGTCCTAAGTGTAAGAGCTTAAACTGTAAAACTCTTCGAAGAAAACATAGTCATAAATATTCATGGAATCGGATTAGCCAGTGTTTTCATAGATAGAAAGCACAAGTGGAGAAAAAAAAAAAAAGATTGGGCACCATTAAAATCAGGCTTCATCAAAATTAAACACTTTTGTGTTGCAGAAGACACAAGCGGAAAGACAGCCCATAGAATGGAAGAAAATATTTTCAAATCACGTATCTGATTAGGGATTTGTGTTCAGATAAATAAAGAACTCTTGTAACTCAATAATATGATAAATCACCTAGTCCGTCTCAAAAGCGGGCAACGTCTCTGAATAGCTATTTCTCCAAAGAAGATGTACAAATGGCAGTAAGTGAGTGAAAAGATGCACCCCATTAGCCATCAGGGAGCTGCCACTCAAAGCCACAATGAGGTGCCACTGCACACCCACTGATAGGATGGGTAGCAGAGAAAGAGAGAGACAGTAACAAGCATTAGCAAGAATGTGCAGTAATTGGAACCCTCATTCAGTGCCCCTCCGAACATAAAATGATGCAGCTGCCTTGACTATGGGCCGTTCCTCGAAATACTAAACAAGAGTCCAGTGATTTCTAGGTTTATACCCAAGAGAAATGGAAGCAGGCACCCAAAAATACCCACACGAGGCCATTCA